TTTTTTAAAAACAGCTTCATTCCTTCAATAGAAGCAATACCTTCAAAAAATTTTTTTTTACACATTTTAAAACTATTCACAGACATCTCTTCTTTTACAATCTACCGGAATTACGGAGTAAAAGAAGTCAACATATTCATAGATAAGGAATATGACAACTCTTATTATGATATGACAACTCTTATTATAACTCTTAATATGACTCTATTATTTTTTCAATTCTTTTTTTTTCTTTTTTTTGCACATTGGACATACAAAATCTATCTCATCTCAAACCCGAAATCTCCGTCCATTGAATACATTGTTCACCGTGTACATCAGAAGAATGTAGATTTGTGCAAAACGAGTATTCAATGTTCATAATTTTCTTCATATTTAAGCGACTTTATGAACGACTTGAAGACAACGAATCGAGACGTCATTATCTTGAGATGCATTAAGTTGTTCTGAATTATGAACGAGGAAATTGCATACATTGAATGATAGATATTTACAGTGACTCACGAAATTATTATGAGTATATTATCTGTGTTATGTGGAACATTCGTTCATTCAAAACTTGAAATCAATGTAGAAGTTACAAAACATTTAATACAAACATCTTTTTTTTTGAAAAATTTAATCATGGTTGAATTATTAATTATATTAATATTTATATATAATTTATTCATATGAAATACAAAATTTAGATATATATTTAATAGAAAATTCTACATCAATCAATGAAAATTAAATATGGGAATTAAAATTAATAATGATAAATTAAGTGCCAGCAATAGCGGTCATATACTTAAATTATTTTTTAAATTATTAATTTTAGGTGAAATTTGAACTAATAAATATAATTTAAAATGTAAAGATATATTACAATTGAATAACAGACTAGGATTAGGTACCTTATTATTTTTAGATAATAAATTTCAATTTTAAAATAAATTTCAAGATTAAATGTTAAATCATTAAAATAAAATAATATTCGGCGGTCATTCAATCTTTTTAGGGAAATTTGTTGTTTTGAAAAATTTTTTGAAAAATTAATACACTCAGTATGAATGAAAGCGACGTACACATAAACATGTACTTAATGCCAAACTGTGACTTGATTCCCAATTTATTTTAAATTTTCATCAAAGTGTTCGATTATACTGTCAATGAAATTTCAAGATGTGTCATACAACACACATGTTGTATTCGTAAAAGTGTTCAGATAGTTTCGTGAGCCACTATAGATAGATAGATAAGATGTAGATGTCTATATTGGGATGTACGATGCGCAGTTCCGTCAATTTCTCGGTGGCTTTCGGAGGAAGAAGATGGCGAGCACGATTCAGAAGAGTGTAGCGGAATGCAGGAACCACCGGCGACGCCGGTTGCTCGCGACGAACTAGCTTTAAGACGTCACAGATTCTTCTCCGATTTATTACACGCCGCGCAAAACGCGACGGAACACCGAGTGAGGTTCGACCCCCTAGGACCGATGGTGCACACCGGTTAGGCCTCATTCCAAATTCTTCACTTCACACTTTTACAATTCTAAAATCTTCCGTTCGGTTTCATTCACTGATTTTAGAATTGACCACGTACGATTGAAACGATTTGCTTTGCTCGAGCAATTAATTTCGTTGCACGAATGTACGTACGAGTGACGAAAGATCTTTTTTCAACTTTTAAATTTGCCAAAGTTTAGTAATCTAAAATCCACGTTTTTTTTTTTTTTTTTTTTTTAAATATAGATATTTCCTCTGCTTTAAAATCTATTCATTAGAGAATAATATATTTCATAGAATGGATCTTTCTGAATGTTGAATCAATGAAATGTTTTATATTTTTCAATAAAACTCGGGCCTCGAAACTTCATTCTCTTTCTTACTGTATAGTATAGCGTTTCGTCATTAGTCGCTCTATTTTTACATTCTGACCTGTTTACCTTTCAACTTTTGGCGCGTTATTTGACGAATTGTTCTCATCGTGGAAAGAAAAAGAGTTATCCGAAATAATTGGGACGACACTCGTGAAAAGTTTATTTTCTTCTAATTACAAACACGTGAAACACGAATCGAACGTATGTTTCTTAATTTCACATTAATAAATAAATAAAGTAATGTAAATTACAAAGTATTTTGTACTTAAGCGTGTTGTACAAGAATGCGTACATGGATACGCGGAGTATTTTTAATTGTTAAATAGTTACAAATTCGTGAGATTCTATAGAGAATGGTATCTACCCACGCGTGATTCAATTTTCGCAGATTTCCTAAGAATAGGCCGCGGCGAACACACTCGCGTTGAATATCATTAGGACTGTGGTTTAGTTCTTCAAGCGTTTCTGAAAAGGCTAGAGGATCTCGTCCGTGAAAGCATCTCGTCGTAAAGGAATAATTTTCAATCAAGCAAAAGAATAATTAAGCCAAGTACGTCTTTACAATCTGGAGTGGTATTTATTAGTCACGGAAACAACTATAAACAAATTGATTCATATCCTCATTATCTTGCCATGTTTTACTATATGAATTTCAAAATTGTGCAATCCAAAGCAAGTTGTTTAATCTCAAACTTATATAGTTTAATACTATATTTTCATAGCAATTGGAATGATATGAATTCGCTTCAAACTGAAATTTATAACGTGATCCCTTATTTGATGTAATTCATTGCTATAAATTCTTCAAACATAATTATCAAGCGTAACATTATAGTAAATTTGTTTTATATAAACATTTTCAAGTACCCATAGATTTATATCTGACATTACATCTTGCTTGCAACATAATAATCTAGTGGCTGTGGATGTTAATGCAACTATTTATATATTCATTCTATATTTAATTTAGTCGAACGTTCTGGAGTATATATTCTACAATTACTGAAAATTTGGTTTCAGTTCAGTTTCACTTTCAAATATTGGGTTCAACAATATATAATTATAATGAAAAATATCTACTTTGTTATTAAATTTTGGCGAAATTTCAGTTTTTTGTTCATTCACTTTGCATGTCTTTAAAGTTTTAACTTTATGCGAAACGAGAAAAATAAGTTTTATGATTCTTTTTTATTAACATTAGAGCATTTCCATGTATGTTTTACACACATAGAAATATATTATAATTAAAGGTTGTGAAGTTAATGATAAGGAGGAACATTTGGAGGAACTGGTAAATAGATTGGAAAACGTTACAAGAAGATTGGAAAAAGTAAAAGCTCAGTCTGTAACTGAAACTCAAGATTCTGCTGTTCAAACAAACACACCATCGCCAAAGAGATCTCAAGCAGTGAAAGACAGTGACTCAGTACTCTCTGCCTCACCTTTTCATTCAACAGGGAAAAAAGTAGAAGATAAATTTATCAGCATGTCAGTCGCAGGATATGAAGATCTCTTAGCTGGTCCTGTGAAAGAATATTTACAACTGAGTGAAAAAATTGGCGGCGATGTAGCTACTCACAGCAAGCTTGTAGAAAAGGCATTTAGGTAAGTATTTCATTGGTATTTCTGTATTTTAAATTCTAGACGTATTTTGTTAAGTATATCAAATTAAACTTTTTTATAGAATCCAATTGGAATTTATTCGAACTGCAGCAAGTCGCCCAATCCCGGCGAACCAGTCAGAACAAATTTCTCTTCTTGCACCTACATCTACACAAATTCAACAGATTCAGGAGTTTCGTGAGAAAAATAGAGGATCTCAATTTTTCAATCATTTATCAGCAATTAGTGAAAGTATTCCAGCTCTAGGATGGGTTGCAGTATCACCTACTCCAGCACCTTATGTAAAAGAAATGAATGATGCTGGACAATTCTACACAAATCGTGTATTAAAGGAATGGAAAGAGAAGTAAATTTTCATTATAGATTGTTAATTGATGTTTTATAGATGCTTTCCTATTGTTTCTTTTTTAACATATATAATAATTTGTTTCCTAGAAATTAATTGCTGCAGAATTCATGCAGAATTCATTTAGTTTTTTATATTTACAGAGATAAAGTGCATGCTGAGTGGTGCAAGGCTTGGGTACAGACACTAAGTGATTTGCAGCAATATGTGCGTCAGCATCATACAACAGGACTTGTATGGGCAAAAACTGGCTCTGCGCCGGCAGGTATACCACCACCTCCACCACCATGCATGCCTCCAATGGGAGACGTAACACCGGCAAATATTAGCGATGACAGAAGTGCTCTTTTCGCTGAAATTAATCAAGGAGAAGCTATTACAAAGAGTAAATATAACGTAGTTACCAAATAATGAGATTAGTAAATAATAAAATTTTAAAAATTGATATATTTTACAGACCTGAAGAAAGTTACATCAGACATGCAAACACACAAAAATCCTTCGTTGAGAACTGGGCCAGCACCATTTAAAGCACCTGTTGTTGGTAATGCTGTACCAACGAAAACAATGCCGCCTGCAAATGCGCCAATTGATAAACCTCCTGTATTCACTAGAGATGGGAAGAAATGGCTTGTGGTAAATACATGATAATATCGTTTGAAATTCATTCTGTATTCACAAAACATCTGTTGTTGTAGGAATATCACAAAGGTAATAGAGATTTAGTTATTGATAACGTGGAGATGAACAACGTTATCTACATGTTCCGATGTCAAGACAGTACTCTAGTTATCAAAGGCAAAGTTAATTCCATCGTTATGGACTCATGTCGCAAGTCATCCGTTGTCTTTGACTCTGTTGTGTCAAGTATCGAATTTGTTAATTGTCAGAGTGTACAAATGCAGGTATGTTATTTATTCTCATTATAAATTAAAACTGCAATAGCGTCTAATGCTTTTTCACATCATGTAAAAAATACATTTATTTCCAAATGGGTATATATGCATATATATATATATATATGTATATATAGTATACATACAGTATAATTACATTCGACATTAAAATATAAAAGCGTAATATTACAAAAATATAATTGTCATTATCAATGATGAATTTTATAAATATAGATGAATAATGTTATTTGTGATTTAATTTTATTTAGATTTTTTAATGTTTCGATACAAGCTTCTTACAGACATTTTGCAATTCTTGTAGATATATAAAATTCGGTTCTTGCTGAAGAATTTCTAATAACATTATGTATTCTTCGTTATTTAATTCTTTAGGTGTTCCACATATTTGAAATTTGTTTATTGCGTTTCTCGATGCTTTTGAAACATTATCCAGATCCGATATAGATGTGCTTGTATCGATAACAGACGGTTTAGCAGTTACATCGACTTCTTTTTGCTCGACGGATAAAAAACATAAATTTTTTAATTTACCATTTAATAAGATACTCGACAACGAGTCCTTTTGCGTTTTCGGTGCTGACAAATTAGTTGACGTAGTTTGATCTAACTCATTACAATTTATAATGGAAGAAATGACCGTAACAATTTTATGCACCGTATCCTTCTCATTCTTTGAACAGAATCCTTGAAGTTCATTGTGTTTTTTGTTAGTTTGATTTTCTTCTGGCTGTTGCACACTTAATTTCCTATTTTTAATATATTCCAGAAATTTATTTGGATCCACTATTTTTGTCATATTGTTGTCGTGTTTTGTGAATATGTTAACATATATTACCATTTGTTTTTGAGGAGTAATGTCGGCATTTTCACTTATACTTTGTACAATGTGCGATACTTTTATCGAGTCTTGTTTATGATTACCAGCATCGTTTGCCTTTTCTATACAGGTCTCTATTTCTTCTGCACATGGGTCTTTATTTCTTGATTTACCTTCTACCTGAATTTCGTCCATCTCATTTTGACTTTTGTCACACAGATTATCCCTCCAGAACATAGTCATCGTTAGCGGCCCTCTCATCGGACTCTTAGGTCGTGATTCATTTTCAGTCTTCCGAGCTGCTTCCAATCTACTTTTCAAAATCGGTATGCAAGATCTTGAAGACGTTTTTGGCGTTGGCGATAAAGATTTCAGGGGATCTTTTGATCTTAACTTAGTTTCCAACGATTCAGTATAATTTATAGAATTTGTATTGCTTGGGCATTCATGTGATCGCGGTGTAATTTCTCTCGGCGACTCGTTCGTTCGAAAACTTATTTGCGATCGGGATCGTTTTCTATCCAATGTAATACTGTCTCCTGTGCTGCGTCTAGGTTCTGCAGATAAATCTCTTAATTTTCGATATTTTATACTTGCATTATCTTCTGCTTTGGTTTGAGCAGTGTTCAACAAATCGGATCTTAAATCTTTTAAGTTTCCTGAAGCTCCAGCTCTCTTCAATTTTTCGGACTTTGAAGTATAGTTTTCGTGGCTTCTCGATTTCGTTTTCAAAGTTTTAACTTCTATCGTTTCCCCTGGAGAAATTTGACGTGGAGATAAATTTAATGAGGTAATAGTTTCTTCCACTTGTAACGTTTGCATATCGTTTGCAGTCAAATTGAACAATGTTTCATCAATCGAATCCTTCTCTTCATTTAAATCTTTTGTTTTAGAAGAAAACGAATGATGTTTGCTGTATATTTTATTCTTAGGTTCTGACGAATTTTCGTTTGAAATTTTGACAAAAGATTTATTAGTGGTCATGACTTTCAGTTTATTAGTATCTTTCAAATTTTCATGTTTGCTGTGTAATTTATTTTCCTTGTTTTGTGTATAAAGATTAGAGTGTGCGTGGCCTTTAAGATTTTTTGAGTATGTATTATTTAATTTTGTAGTAGAACTTGAAGCTTCATCTGTAAAATATATACTGCTATGTGGAGAGACGAGGTTGGAATAAGATTTATAAAAGTCCATCTCGTTTACCAATTCCTTTTTAGTCAGGTTTGTAAATGAATTTTGTGTAATCGAATCAATCTCCTTATCCTGAAATTGACCATGTTCACTGTAATTAATTTCAATTTTATTATGGTTAATCACATTTGCAGTATCATATTTTTGAAGGGTAATTGTGTTTGTTGAACACGTTTTTACATCTTTTCCATTAAATTCTTCATTATCGCTGAAATCATTATTGACGTTCAGCCAATCTAATTCTAATTTTCCTTCATCTAATGACTTATTGATTAGTACTGTTATAGATGGTGGTTCCGGGATATTTGAATCATTGGACTGATTTATGCTGGATGTTAACGAATCCTGTATTAAATTCGTTTCAACTGAAGTCTCTTTACTCTCACTGGCTGTTAATTCGTACATCGGATCCCCATTTTCAATTACACCATGCATTTCTAGTGTTTTATTTATGTTCTCGTGTAGCAATGTCTGTTCGATTAGCGAACACGCACCAGGATTTCTTTTCAAAGTTAAATTTGAATTGCACGATAAAGTTTCTTGATTTTCATATCTTTCATCGTATTTCCCATCATTCAGTATATTCGGTTTTAACGTGTCATTTAAATATTTTAATTGTGAATTATTTGGAACTATTTTTCCCTCGTTTTCTTGAAAACGCTTTGGTAAAGATAGCCGGTTATTTTTAATTTCACTTCCTTCCTGAATCATATTGTTAAAGCTAAAATACTCAGAAGGTGCACCAAGATTGTCCTTTGAGTCTAAATATTTTTTGTGTGTATCCAAGTCTATAATTTCATTTCCTCGAGCAAGCTTTAATGCATCATTGTTGAATTGTTTGTCTTGTTTCAAATTCAGAAACATATAAGTTCTACTATTTTTTTCAGTGGAACTACTAACAGATTGTTCCTCTGATATAATGTCTAAAAATTTTGATTGCAGATTATTGTTAACGCAAGGATATTTATCCTGACATGACACGGATTCATTATTCGTTTCTTCTTTTTTGTCATCTATATAACATATCTTTTCTAGTTCAACGCGTGTTAATAACGCCCTTTTGAATTGCAACGCTTCCTGAAGTAATAATGCTGTCGACTTGTCATCCAATTCACTGTCCTTTGATATTTCTGTACGACTGGAGTTTAGCGATATTATTGCATCCTCATCGGTTTCCATTGGAACTGGATATTGATCGGAGAGATTAAATGGCTTTGCTTGATTATTGTTAATGTATGCATCTGGTAATGTAAGATTTTCTGCTGCTACTGTTTCCTTTACAACTTCCTTTCCCTCGGATGAGTCAGATGATATAGCGTAATACACTCTCTCAGGTATTTTCTCATACTTAATACTAGAAGAATAATGCATCTGATTATTTGGAATTATCTGTAATTGCTGATCATTTGTAGGTGATATCTTTGGCTCAGGGTTTTCTGCAAGCAAACGATAAGGATCATTTATATTATTTACATGATATGCGTTAAACATATTTGAATAATTCTGAATGGACACTATGGAACTTCTGGCTGTTTCATCGCTTTCATGCTGTTCAGAGCTGTTGGAGGTTGTTCGTTGAATTTCCTTGCCGTTGTTGTTTTCAGTGTTGTCGTTAGATTCCACTTTGATATTTTTGTTACCGTTCCAATTATCAGCGGCTTTTGTAACTGGGACAAGCGTGCCCGTCACATCTTGGCAAACGCTGTCTATTTTGCTGCTATTTTCTCGTTGTTTTTCCGTTGCTTTTATTTCAACGTTTTGCAACTCGTACATACGCAGAACATTATGCAAGCTTTCTAATTTTTTTTTCACTTGGTACAAGGCCTCCTGAGACGTTTTCATGTTTCTCTTTCGTTCAGACGATCTTGGAACAACCAACATCTTTGAGGTCAATTGCTGAGGAAACATATCAGTGCAAAATGATATATTCATTTTTGGCGGCAGTAAACTCTTGTCAATCAATTGTAGAACTGGATAAATCACATTCGATAATTCCAAACATTGTTCGCTGTTGCGTTGCTTTCCATCAATTTTTTCAAGCTTCTCCTCCTCTTTATTTTCCTCTTTCTCACATTCGTTCTCTTTACTTTTTTCCAGACTTTTACTTAGATCAATTGAATCTTTTACTGGGACACATTTCTGTTGCTGTAATTTATAATATAAAGTAATCGAATCATTAAATCTGTAATTCTAAAATGATTTTAGATTATTTAAATATTATATCATCATATTTACAGATTATTCGTAATATCATACAATTTTTTTCAACTTTATTTCTTGTTCGCTTACTTGGGTATCTGACCATAAATTTTTAGTCGAGGACTCATTGCTAATGTCGGACGTGCTGTAGATCAATCCAAGATTTTTATTGCTATCGTGCAATTGTTTCAGATATATTTTACAATCGTCCATAGTTTTCGTGAATTTCTTACAGGCTGCGGTCATTTTTACAGTTTCATTGTTCTTCGTGTCTCTCCTTGATTTTTTCCCAGACTTGGTGTACCCTCTTTTCAAAAATAGTGGGACCGATATCGCGTTTCGATATTGCATTTGGAAATTTTTGTTTCTCAATGCTTCGTGATGCTTTCGATCGATCACATTTTTGAACATGGAATTTAGTCTAAAAATAAAATTTATTTCATTCGAATATATTTCAGTTGTTCCTAGATCTTTAGATTAGAATTTTCAATCTGTAATCAGCCTAAATCAATAATGATAGATTTTTACTATAACGTGCAACGTTGCTGGATCAACTTAATTAGATTTAAATGGAATATTCATGCGAGCAGATTGGTAAATGGATAAATCCTTGATTGAATATTAATGTACATCAATAATCAGTTTGGAATAATAAGTTTAGACATATGACTGTACTTTAAAGATATGTCGCTGCTACTTTTTGAAGATTTACTGCTGTACTCGACTGGTGGCATGCTTTCTTGACGGAGATAAGGGTACATACTTTTTTTCTTTGCATCGAACAATTCGGTCAGATGATGTTCCGAAGGGTAATACTTTGAATACGAGAAGTACGATTCCTTGTGCCTAGGACTGAATATAAATAACGGATTTTAATAATGTTAACTTCACAGGCTGTTGAAGTAAATATTTATTGAAATTGAAACTTTTGTCCAAAGGGAAATGATTAAACTTGGTTTGACTTTTCCAGAAATAACTTATTTATATAATTTTCATTTAAATGAACTTTATTTAAATTTAAATGAACTTTATTTATTTATATTTATATTTTATTAAATTTATATATAATTTTCATTTAAATGAACTTAATTTAAATTTAATTCGATATTAATTTAATGCCGATTCATTATTAATGTATGTATAACATCAATTTGATACAATTCAATTTTAATGCGAATTATTTCAATATTATAATCACTCTGAGCATACCTTAGCAACACATGTTTTATCCAGTTATTGCGATCATTTGGATTCGACAGTGTTAGCCTGAGGTTCCTCAGGTTCCTCCTAAAATTTGACTTCTGAACTTGATGGGGCAAAGGCCAAGCACCATACTGCAGTTTATACGTTAATATATTAACTTTCAGCTCAAGATCTTCCACTTTGTATCCGACTTTATTAAAGATCTCTTTATCAATATCGTTGCTACGTTTTGCTTTGAAACATGTTATACGTAGTAGTATGACGCATACAGATATTACGGCCAGTACCTTCAAATATTGTTAACACTATTAACAAACTCTGTTTGTTAGTTAAATTCTTTTTTTTTTTTATTTCTTTTCGTCTTAAATTCCTTTTCAACATAGCGTTCAGGTATAAAATGCTTTATCATTTTTTTAAGAGCATGGTAACTCAAAAATAGTAGAAGCTTGATAAAAAAAAAAAAAAATCATTTACAACGAAAATTACTATACTTCATATGTTGTTTGTTATTTTTCACACATGTATAAAAACCCGCAGTCTATTTGTCAGTCTTTTTGTCAAAGAACTTACCTGACCGCTATGTTCATATATATATACTTCTAATTATTCATTGCAAGTCAAAGATAATAATAACTCTCTGTACCCGCCAGACTATGCTTTCGTTCCTCAAGCTGTCGATCACGTCGATCACGACCTCTCTCCAAATGTAATTTGCTATTGCTTTTGGACATTCCTTCCAGTCAACTTCGCAGATCATTTGCACAGGTTCGAGATTCCCGCCTGTGATACATTGATTAGGATTAGGCTCGACGATTTATCATTTCCTACGTTTTATCAACGAAGCAGCTTCGTTCGATTGGGATGTTGAATTTGAATTACGATGATCAGGTCAGATAGGGGAAATCTAAGAGAAGAAACATTACCGAATTGCCAATGCATTTTGAGGGGAGAGTGAGCGTGTGTTCAAGTGCGAGGTGAAAATCCAACTACACGCTTCGAAATGTCATCGATTCGTTCTACCTATTATCGTCTCTATCATATGCTGCGTGAAATGCGAAAAATCGAAAGGAACCGCGATCGTCAGTTGTTGCTTCTTGACGGTGTAAATATCGATAGTTTATATTTAAAGTGTGTACATTAAATTTTTCTTTAATCGAGTATATATTATTTTAATTCTTTGATTCACTTTGTGATTGAAGAGCATTGTTTTAATGTGAAATAATTTAAAAATAAAAATATTTAATAGTAACAGATTGTTATGAGAATGTCAAGTAAAAATATTAAATATTTTAATATTATAACAAAGAACAAAGTTTAAAATTATGACTATTATTATATTATAGTTACACGAGTATTATGTAATTTATATAAATTATATATATATATATATATATATATATTATATACATAGGTATTTTTCCAGTTAATGGACTATCAGCAGTCAACTAATAATTTCCTTTCGTTTTTTGATTGCAGGTACTAGGAAAAGTTCCCACCATCTCAATCGACAAAACGGATGGTTGTCAGATGTATCTGAGCCCAGAATCACTAAACGTGGAATTCATTAGCAGCAAGTCTAGCGAGATGAACGTTATGATACCTCGAGCAAATGGAGATTATGTAAGATTTTATCAGCCAGAATATCGAGTCATTCTATAAGCAATCTTACATTGTTATTATGAAAATTCTACATAGAATTGAAATAGAAAGCTTAACAGCTTAACTAATTGAATATCATATTGTGTCATTTGCCAGTTCTGTAAACGATCGTCATTTAATGAACAATTTATTTATAATTTCTACAGACGGAGTATCCCATACCGGAGCAATTCAAAACGACCATCAGTGCCAAAGGTCTGAATACCATTGCGGTGGATTCGCTGGGCTAAAGTCTCGACGGCTCGATTACCCATAGCCTAACTGAATGTTTTGTTAAGAGTACAGCTCGTTAGAGATATATCATCTTCAGAGGATTCGTCGATTTATAATTTATTGCTTCTTTATAACTAATTTAAGAATTTAAGAAGAGAAGCGAGAAAGAAGAGGCAGCAGCATATGTTGTACTTTCTCGAAAGTATAGAATTGAATTAGATAAATCGATTGAACCTGTTTGAAATATTCGCAACCCTATCTCCTTGTTTTCGAACGTATTTGCACGCATTTCGTGGAGATCATCGATCCCGTGTTTCGAACAAAATTTATAGAATCACGTTGAAACTCAATGCTCAATCGAACGAGTCTTATTATATTTATGTATAAAACACGCGAAACATTTCGATCGTTCGCGGCTACGATATTTTGTAATATAGTCTTAATTAGATCCCTAGTAATTGTGATTCGTCTGATAGGTGATAACGGATGAAAATGGAGTCGACATTCTTCACGAGTGTGTTATTAACGCACGATATGGTGCTGATGTAAGGAGACTGTAGGTTGGATTAAAACTGTACTACAGGTATGGACAAAAGTTTCCCTAATCTTCGAATCGGACCCTTTTATACATTTACACCATTTTTTATCGTGATCAAACTTTTGTCCACACCGACGAGAACCGCTTCTCGAGATTTCTCACTCCGACTCGCTATGGAATTGCCATTCGACGTTCCTCGGTGGGGGGGAAAAAAAGCGAGCGCCCGCACATGCGAACAGTTCCCGAGGAAGTAGAATCAGAAAGTATTCACGAGTCATTTACAAAGCATTAGTGATGTCATATCAATATAACTTAATTGTACAGAGTGTCTGGTTGTGTGTACAAAGTACAGCAAGCGATAGATTCAGCATAAAGAAGTACGAAAAAGATTTATTGTAAATGTAGGTCCAACATGATGACGTTCTCCGGTTACGTTTTGTTGTATGTTATGTTTAACATAACATGCTTGTTTTATGTCGTCATTATTGAGCTATTCCAAACAGACGTTGTATAGATTTAGATTCGATGGTTGAGGAAGTGCTTGTTAATTAATAGTATTTTATAAACTGCAGATTTTAAATATCTCCATAATAATACACGAGTAAATTTAAGTCTGGAGAGCGATTGAAAAATGCAGCTTGAAGTATTTTAAACAATATTTTATTTTTTTTTTTTTTTGTTTTAATATGCTGAATTCATCCCTGCTGCACTTCTCACATTTAACGAGGTACCCGATATTAACTTGAGACTTTTGCAGCATTCTTACTTTACATATCGTATTATGTATTAATTCAATGATGTAGAGCCGCGTTGATTGGAAAGAAATGATTTCATGCCAGTATAATGTTATATATATATAT